AGGCGAGAAGCAAGTCCAGCGTTTGCATCACGTGCCGGCGTCGTGCAAGAACTAGCTCTCGGCCGGTGAGACCCTCACGCACGGTCGTCTCTACCTTCCCGCCGGCCGAAGGAGAAAGGGTCGACATCGCCGCCTCTCGCCCACCCACGTCCCCCCCTCGGCTTCGGTTGCTCGTGGCACTCTCGTTCTGCTTCTTCTTCTCCTCCTCCTCGCCCTCCTCTTCCGCCTCGTTCACCTCCATGCCGGTTGCAAGTCCTTCGTCCTCCGTGTCCTCATCGTAAGTGACGTTATTATTGTCTGGGTCGTCGTTGACGGCGGTGTCTTCACTGTCTTCGTTGTCGTTGTCGTTGTTGCCATCATCTGATTGGCTCTGCACCTCCTCTTCTTCCTCCTTTTTGTTCATCTTCTCCTCCTTTCGCTTTTCCTCTTTCCTCCTCCGCTTCTTGGACAACCGTCTGTCGATCGGTGGGAAGATCGGCGGCACGGGCTTGGAGTAGGTCCGCCGCACCCAGTTGTAGATGGTGGACACGATCGTGGACTTAGTGTAGGGGATCCCGCGGCGCTGGTCCTTGACCTGATCCCACAGGTGCGCGATGCGGGCCACCACCCAGCCCTGGTCCAGGTCGGCCAGCGGAATGTCCTCGCGCATGAGCGTCTCCATGGCCTCGAGCTGCAGGCGCCTCCGCAGCCTCATGTGCTCGGTGGGGAGCTCCACCGCGGAGTCAAACTTCAGCTGCCGGTACCGCGCCCATCGGTACCGCTGGTGCACCACCTCGGCCGACGGCTTGCACTTCTCTTCGTAGCCAAGTCGCGCGCATTCGCGGTCGATGAGAGCCGCGATGAGTACGGTGGACTCCGACTGGTCGAGCTCCTTCATCATCCGCTGCACCACGGCCGCCGACACCTCGAGTCGCCTGTCGAGCACTTCCTGGCGCACCAGACCGCCCGGTCGCTCTGAGGCCTCGTGAGCGAGTCGGTGCTCGACGAGCTCGTGCTGCGTCGTGAACCTGACGCCGCACGGCTCGCCCGGGAATTCGCGAAGCGGGTGGAGACACCCAAAGTTTCTGCCTTTCTGCACGGTGAACGTGATGCCATACTTGAGGTATACGGGCGTGCGTTCCGTACACGTGGCGCACTTGTCCCGAAAGTGTTCAGCGCACACGTATTTCCCCGCTACATCAGAAGACACATGACACACAACACACAACACGTTGACTGTTAGGCAGAGAGCACGACACCAAAGACCGAGAGGGCAGCAGGCAGTACTCTTCCAACGCCCGTCTGAGGAGGTGGTGGGCCTCGCCTGTCCGGCCTTCTTGTCTTCCGTCCGCCGAATCCTACGCCGCCTCTTGGGCTGCTCCTCCTCCTCTTCGTCCTCTTGGCGCGCTTCATCGGCCGATCTTCTTGCTCGCTTCCCCTTGGCCTTCTCTTTTTCGTCCTTTTTCGTGTTCTTCTCTGCTACTCTGCTCTTGCGCTCCTTGGTCTTCTTCTTCTTCTTGTCGCTGTCTCGGCTCGGCTCGGCTGTTTGCCCGGCCGAGGCCTGCTCGAGCTCAGAGACCTCAACTCGTTCGTAGCGCTCGTCCTCCGCTCCTTGCTCCACCCGTTGCCGTTTGGTGGGGGCGGCGTTGGGCAGCGGGTCCCTGGTCTTGGTCAGAAGTCGAGTCGCGGCTGCCCAAATTGAACGGATTGAATTAAAGCGTGATTCAATTTGATTCACAAGAGAGGGAGGGAAAGCAGGGACGTACAAGGCACGGGAAAACTTAACGGAGACGAGGGGTCGGAAGAAGAGGAGGAGGCTTGCAGCTCATTGAAGAGCAGGTCGGCCTCCAGCAGCAACTTCTCCGTCGAATTGTGGTCGTAACTGGGCACTACTGGGGGTTGATGATGGAGAAAGCGCCCCCTCGATGCAAATTCGGCAGGTGGCTGCAAGTGCACTTGCGGAGAAGGGTACTGAAGGTAGTAGCTGAGAGGCCGGATCAACGGGCCGCCCACACGACCCTCATCCATCTCATCCACGGTTTTTTTTTACTTCTCGTCTTTTCTCACCCTTTCTTTTTTTCTTTGGCTCAAGGCAAAAAGCAATTCTGATTTTTTTTTCTTTTTCTCTTTGCCTGTCATGCTCCAGGCTGCATTACCCATGTTGAACCACAGTCCCATCTCACTTCCAAAAGTCTGCATCTAATTCATAGGTCTCATACTGACCAGGGATCCTCCTCAGCACAGTGATCCACTGCACAGTTCCCACTGTACAGTTCCCAGGGAAAACTCTGTGAATATGCCTCTTGATGCTGAGAGACCAACCAAGTGTTCACACAAAAGGGTCAGTGACTCTTTTTCACTAACTATCTGGCAGCATGTACAGATTGTCAGGGCTGTAACACCAGTATCTGCACACCCTCCAGAAACAGACTGGGGGGGTTGAAAATCGGCTCACTAAATTTGGTACCCTCTCTAAGTTTATAAAATGACTGGTGGTGGGGCTCAATTTTCGGCAAGTCCACACCAGTGCCCTCCAAGTTTGGACTTAAAAAAATTTACAAATCACCAGCAACAGAGGGTGGATGCAGAGTGGGGTCCCAGTGGGGCTGGTGCACATATGCACCAGTGAGGAAGAAGAGGACAGCCCTGAGGAACAATGGCCAACCAAGTGGTGGCGCACTGGTCCAGTGCCAACCCCCCAGCCATGGGTGGGGGGCGCCCCACCCACTGACAGGGCAAATAGAAGCAACAACAAGGTCCTGCTTGGGGTGGTGCAGGCCATGCAGCAGTGGGTGCTCAAGGCCCTCTTTGATGTGGATGATGGCCATTGGGAGGCCTTCATCCAGAGCACTACCAAGCACCTGAGCAATCTCTGAGCCACACAAGGGTGTGGAGCACAACTACTTCCACCATGACAAGGGCACTGTTTCAACTCTCTTGGCCTCATCAACTATGCTGGCCTACGTCATTCCTCAACTTCAACTGGGCTTTGCTGGTTGTGCCAATGACCAGCGTAGCTGGACCCTCTCTGCCATTGGCCATGGCAACCTACAACTCAGTGAAGGCCACAATGGTACACTCCTGCCCCCCCTTCCACCACTGGTCACACCCACTTTGTGGCCACTCATGCAGGTGTTGCAGATGGTGGGTTTTCCAAAAGTGACCCTCATCTGATAACACCATATGGGGGAATGCCAACTCATACAATGACAGATTGCCAACTCTCTTCACAAGCTGAAGGAGGGTTCTTAAAGTCAAGCAGGCCAAGGAGAAATTCCAAATGGTACTTAATTAATTAATTTTTTCTTGGATTGTTTTGGTGAACAAAACTGCCCCATTGACTGCCCCATTTGCTCTGTTGTCAGGTGCTGTCCTGATCTTCATGTTGAAGAACCCCATGATGGCCACACCAGCCAAGATGATGAGGAAGACAAAGAAGATTAAGAAGCCATGTGCCACCTGGACACTTGATAGCTCTGTGTCCTCACTAAGTTGGCCACCAAGCATCAAGGCAATGGACTCTTGTTCAAGAGGACTTGGTCAAGGCAGGTTACCACCAGTGTACAAATGACACCATCAAGCAGTCCTCAATGTCTCATCCCCACAACATCCATGGTTGACCTCCTCATCAAGGATTCTGCCTTTGTCATTCCTTCTTCAATAACATCCACCACTTCTGACCCTTTTTCATGAACCTCACATTTCAAATGACCACAAGTTCTATGATGTTGAAGAAAGTGCCAAGCCAGCAGTGTGAGTTCTCATGCACCAATGAGGGAGCTCTTGGCATATGTTGGTGATAACATGCATGAGCTTCAGGGATGTCTGCCAGGTCCTGTGCACCAAGGGCACTGGCCACAGTAGTAATGCTTGATGCTCATTGAGGCCTCTCATTCCCATTCAGTGCTCATGCATATCAAAGATTGACCATTTATCTGGACTCTTTCTCTTCATCCTTTTTTTCTGTCTGTTTAGCAGATCATTGTTGTTTCTGCTGCCTTTGCACCACAGTTGGTTATCCCCATTGCTTGTATTGTCATGAAGGTGTACAAGGGCATGGACACATCTCTAAACATAGCAAGATGGAAGTGTTTATCCATTGCATAACTCCTGTAGTGTATGCTGAGGTTGCCATTCTATATGTGTTGTCCTTCTTACTGACTCCTCTGTCTTCCTTTCCTCCTCCTTTGTTCATCTCTTGAGTAAGGAGACTGCTGACACAGTGGGCACACGTTTCACAGCTTGTCGCCCTAATGCCCAGGCGCAAACAGGTAAACTCACAACGATTCGTCCTTGTTTGGTGTGGATTACTGCGGCTTCTTTGCGGAGAAGCACAGGAACAAGCGGTCCGGCGGGGCTGTGAGTCCCGGCAGATCAAGCTTCACTCCGCGCACCTCCACCTCTTCAAAGCCTATGCGTTCCAGCGTTTGCTTGAGCGACTCGCTCGAGTGATGGTACCCAGTTGTGCGGTTGCGCAGCGGGGGTTCCCATTGCCCCGGCTCGGCGCTGGTGCCGACGCAGTCACCGAAGTATGACCCGCCGGGCCGCAGCATAGAATACACGGCGCGCAAGAGAGCCTCCACCTTCTCCTCGGTGAGCACGTGCAGCACGGCGCCGTTCCACACATGGGCGAAGAGCCCTTCTGCCACAAGAGACTTCACGAAGTCGGAATCGCTCGTT